TTTTTTTTTTCTGTAGAGATGGGGGTCTCCTTACATTGCCCAGGCTCCTATTGGCTGATTCTTGCCCAGAAACTGGCTCTCTGGTGCCCATCCCTATCTTTTCAGGACATCACATCTCAGCGTCAGTAGCAGAGTTGATAGGTTTCCTTTCCAATAAACCTGTGTGACTTGTCATCCTTCTGATAGCTGTTATAGAAGGGAATGTAAATAAGTTCAGGTCAATGCATGGATGACAGATTTTTGTTTTGGTTTGAGACAGAGTCTCTGTCACTCACGCTAGAGTGCAGTGGCACACTCTCAGCTCACTGAAGCTTTGACTTCCCGAGCTCAGGTGGTTCTCCCACCTCAGCCTCTTGAGTAGCCGGGACCACAGTTGTACATCACCATACATGGCTAATTTTTGTTTCACCATGTTGTCCAGGCTGGTCTTGAACTCCTGGACTCACGTGATCTGCTTGCCTTGGCTTCCCAAGATGCTAGGATTATAGGTGTGAGCCACTGCACATGGCTGAATCACAGATTTATAAGGGGTTCTAGGAAAGGAGAAACTCTTCGTGTTACCTCTCAGTCAGGGGGAAGGCAGTGCTGTGGTGCCATGTGGGAGGAGGAGCCAGCATCACAGACTGGCTAGGGTTAAGCTGTTCTCTCCCTGGTCTTTCGGAAGGAGAGCGTGCCTGTGTCCAGTTACCAGCAGGCAGGAATTCCTGTGGACTTGAAGAGGAAGATTGCGCGGCTGGGGATCAACATGCTCCTGAAGATGGTGAGCTTGTGGGCGGAGCAGGCTCAGGCCCAGCACGTGGTCAGCTTGCAGATGGGGAGTGGTCAAGGACTCTGGCTGTCTGGGTAGGTAGGAGAGCCAAGCAGCAAGCTGCCAGGTTGAGAAAGTCTGTTCTAGAAAGGGTGGAGCCTTCCATAAATGTCCATATGTCCACAGAGTCTGTTAAGTACTTTTTTTTTTTTCCTTTTTTGAGATAGAGTCTCACTCTATTGCCCAGGCTGCAATGCAGTGGCAAAGTCTCAGCTCACTACAGCCTCAACCTCTTGGGCTCAGGTGATTCTCTCGCTTCACTCCTCAGCTTCCCGAGTAGCTGGAACTATAGACATGAGCCACCAAGCCTGGCTAATTTTAAAAATTGTTTTGTAGGGACAGGGTCTCAGTATGTTGTCCAGGGCAGTCTCGAACTCCTGGGCTCAAGTGATCTTCCCACCTTGGCCTCCCAAAGTGTTGGGATTATAGGCATGAGCCATTGCTCCCAGCCTCTTAAGTACTTTGTCAGTGGCTCAGGCTCTGTGTGCTGTGGGAAGAAGGGTAACCATGACGCAGTTCTGCCGGGGTTACCTGTAGTTTAGTAAACAGCTGAGACAATATCATATTTTAAATGCTACTTTGCTCATTTGCTCAGCAAATGTTTATTGAGCACCTACCAGGTGCCTGGCACTGAATTAAGGTCTGGGGTTACAGTAGTGAGCAAAACAGACACAATTACAATGCTCATGACATACTGTTCATTGGGAAGACAGGTGACGATGAAGTAAATGATTTATAGGAGTAAGTCCAGGGTGCCAAAGGGTCATTTAGGAGGGGCCTGTGCCAACCCAGGGATTCACTCAGGAAGTGGCTCTATCTCAGCTGCAGTGTGAAGGTCTAGGTGTCACTGCATAAGGACAGGAAGCAGGGAGTTGTCCAGAGAGAACAGCCTGTGCTGAGGCCTGGGGTGAGCTACTGCATGGTGCCCTCGGAGAGACGAAAGCACTTAGTATGGCTTGGAAGAGAGTATTAAGGAAGGGGCAGTGATTGCTGAGGCTGAGGAGGTGAGAGGGGCCTGATCACGAAGGATCTATTAGTCTGTGAAAGAGTTTAGACTTTAATCCAAGGGCAGATAAATTTATTTTGAAGCTTTTTGCCTTAACTTTTGAAATCCAATAATATTTAAATATAAAGTGCTCAGATCTTAAATGATGCTTAGTGAATTTTTAAAAAGCATCCCAGTGCCCAGATTAAGACATAGGAGAGTTTTGGCCAGGCTCAGTGGCTCGTGCCTATAATCCCAGCACTTCAGGAGGCTGAGGTGGGGATATAGCTTGAGCCCAGGGGGTTGAGACCAGCCTGGGCAACATGGCGAAACCCTGTCACTACAAATAAAATAAATTAGTGTGTGGTGGCAGCATGCCTTTTGTCCCAGCTACCCCGGAGGCTGAGGTGGGATCACCTGAGCCCGGGAGGTGGAGGTTGCAGTGAGCCAAAATCATGTCAGTGCACTCCAGCCTCAGAGACGCAGTGAGACCTTGTCTCAAAAAAAAAAAAACAAAAAAAAGGACATGAGAGTTTTAGGCTGAAGAATCCCCTAATTAGGAGGGCTGTCACAACCTCATGTCTGCTGTGGAGTTGGAGGGGGAGGGTGAGACGAGAGGCAGGGGAGCCAAAAGGTAGATTTGATTCTTGGACATTTAAACATGTTCAAGTGTTTCCACCTCCTAAGAACTTTTAGTAGGTTTTGTCTTTCCCATATCTACCAGTGAGGATTCTGCAGGCCTCCCCAGCTGAAGAGGAGCCTGGCCACCTCTGGAGGGAATTCTTTGTTTCACAAAGGCCAGAGCTGTGGTTTACCACAGGGAGGTTTTGTCTACTGAGGACACCTGGCAATGTCTGGAGACATTCTTTTTTTCTTTTTTAAGCCGGGGTTTCACCATTTTGAGCTCCCGACCTCAGGTGATCCGCCTGCCTTGGACTCCAAAGTGCTTGGATTACAGGCGTGAGCCACCATACCCAGCCTATGTCTGGAGACATTTTTGGTTGTTATAGTTGGGGGTTGGGGGTGCTACTGTCACCTGTTGGCAAGAAGCCAGGATCTTACCACCCCAGTGTACAGGGACGGCCATTCTCACCCGCAGCAATAGACTGAGAAATCCTGGGCTGGAGGGATAGAGAAACTTACAGGCACAGGGACAGGATTTGGTGGTGCTTCTGTGGGAAACCTTCTATTTCCTTGTGAACTAAGAGGGGCCATTGTTCTCTGCTGGGAGTAGGATGCAGAGGGTCATGGGACAAGAGGTTTTTTTAAAATTTTTAATTTTTAAAAATTATTATTTTTTTTAATAATAAAAAGACAGGGTTTCACCATGTTGGTTAGGCTGGTCTTGAACTCCCGACCTCAAGTGATCTGCCCGCCTTGGCCTTCAAAGCTCTTGGATTACAGACGTGAGCCACTACACCCGGCCGGGACACGAGGTTTAAAGAGAACAGAGAGGTTTGAAATTGCTGCCCTAGGACTAGAAAGAGCTACTTGGGGCCGGACGTGGTGGATCATGCCTGTAATCCCAGCACTTTGGGAGGCTGAGGCAGGTGGATCACCTGAGGTTGGGAGTTCGAGACCAACCGGCCCAACATGGAGAAACCTCCGTCTCTATTAAAAAAAAAAAAAAAAAAAAGAGCTACTCAGGAAATGTGAATGGTTGTCAGGAGGCATCAAGCCATCTTGGTGTTGGAGAGGCAGAGGGGTATTTTGCCTATCTGCAGTGTAGCCTGGGGGTTAGGAGCCCAGAACAGGATTTGTCTGGGTTCAAATCTCAGCTTCCAGTTTACTAGCTGGGGGCAGAGAGCAGTGTCTGGGGTAAGCTACTTAACCTTTGTCCTCAGGCTTCTTATCTTTCAAAAGAGGATAAGAAGTGACTTCCTCATGGGGTCACCATGATGGTAAAGGAGTGGAAATTCCTAAGAAGCCGCAGTGAGCCCTAAGCCACACTGGTTATGGTGGCCATGGTTGGCCAGCATTGTTAGCAGCTCCCATGCAGGAGCAAAGGAAGATCTTAGATTGTTGGGGGTCTGGTCTTCCTGGTCTGGTCTTCCTGGTGGTTGGGACAGAGGACAGTAGTTGAAGGGACAGATAACAGGAATGGGGGACAGGGTTGAGGCAGATAGGGAGGAAGAATAACCAGATCTCAGAGGCAAATAATTGAGGTAGGGAGGACCCAGGCATATGGTGAGAGCTGGAGAATGAATCAGGAGTCAGAGATAAAGCTGTGGGTGGAGGCACGTCTGGAGTCCCCACAGCAAGGGTGCTCAGAGCAGGCTGACAGCAGGCAGGCCCATGCACCAAAGGCTGAGAGCCGTGCCGGGGGTGGGCTCAGGTAACTCTACTCCAACCCCAGGGCCTGTGGGATGGGGAGTCAGCAGTTCCCACCCTGCTGGCTCCTGGAGAAGTGGTATTGTTGGGGCACATCCAGGTTTCAGTTAAGTAACTGCAGTGAGAGCCCGGTAGCGAGAGGACTTTGTCCACAGGAACAGGGCTCCAAGGGGGACAAGGGGGAAGTAGCCAGGGGAGAAGCAGCATGAAGCAGCACCAGGAGTGGAGAGAGGGTGAGGGGCCTCCAGCTCTGGGGTCAGGATCCGGGCATGAGACCCTAGGTAGGACTGAGGGCAAGTTTCCAGAAGATTCAGAACTTTAACTTAAAAAATTGAATAATAACAACATTCAATAAAGTGTATAGATCCTAAATTATGCTCAGTGAATTTTTAAAAGTATACCAGGCCAGGCATGGTGGCTCACGTCTGTAATCCCAGCACTTTGGGAGGCCAAGGTGGTGGATCACCTGAGGTCAGGAGTTCGAGACCAGCCTGACCAATATGGTGAAACCCCATCTCTACTAAAAATACAAAAAATAAGCCAGGTATGGTGGCGCACGCCTGTAGTCCCAGCTACTTGGGAAGGTATGGCAGGAGAATCACTTGAACCCGAAAGGTGGAGGTTGCAGTGAGCTGAGGTCACACCGTTGCACTCTAGCCTGGGCAACAAGAGTGAAACTCCATCTCAAGATTTCAAAAATGCTTTTTACTTTGAAATAATTTTTCTTTTGAAAACTTTAACTTAGCTTGTCTTTGTACAAATTCTGAGCTGACATCTAAACAGGGTCTATAGGACATGCACCTCTTTGCGGCTGTGATAGATTACTGGGAGATTATTGTCACCCTGGCAACTTTCTTTCTGTGTGGCTTGGTGGTGCTGTGGGGGTGACTCAGTCATGAGCAGTGTGATCTCCTTCCAGATATTTGTGGATAACTTTGTGCACGCAGACCTTCATCCTGGAAACATCCTGGTCCAGGGCGCTGATGGCCTGTTCTTGAGTCAAGAAGCGCAGCTGCAGCAGGCAGACGTCTGTGACAGTCTGGTGGTGGCCATGCCATCTGCCCTGCGCCCGCTGCGACTAGTGCTGCTGGATGCTGGCATTGTGGCAGAGCTGCAGGCCCCTGACCTGAAGAATTTCCGGGCAGTTTTTATGGCTGTGGTGATGGGGCAGGTGAGACTCACTGGGACCACAGAAATTGGCATGAATTTTCCTTTAATTAAAAAAATGGGCTGGGCGCATGGTATGTGCCTGTAGTCCCAGCTACTGGGGAGGCTGAGGTGGGAGGATCACTTGAGCCCAGGAATTCTGGGCTGTAGTGCGCTATGCCAATCGGGTGTCCACACTAAGTTCGGCATCAATACGATGACCTCCTGGGAGCAGGGGACCACCAGGTTGCCTAAGGAGGGGTAAACTGGCCCAGGTGGGAAACGAAGCAGGTCAAAACTCCCACGCTGATCAGTAGTGGGATTGCACCTGTGAATAGCCACTGCTCACCAGCCTGGGCAACATAGTGAGACCTCGTCTCTTATTTAAAAAAAAAAAAAAAAAAAGGGCCACCATGGTGGCTCACACCTGTAATCTCAGCATGTTGGAAGCCTGAGGCAGGAGGATTGCTTGAGCCCAGGAGTTCAAGGCCAGGCTGAGCAACATAGGGAGACCCTGTCTTTATAAAAAATAAGAAAATAGGCTGGGTGCAGTGGCTCACATCTGTAACCAGCACTTTGGGAGGCCGAGATGGGTGGATCACTTGAGGTCAAGAGATCGAGACCATCCTGGTCAACATGGTGAAACTCATCTCTACTAAAAATACAAAAATTAGCTGGGCATGGTGGTGCACACCTGTAGTCCCAGCTACTCGGGAAGCTGGGGCAGGAGAGTTGCTTGAACCCAGGAGGTGGAGGTTGTGGTGAGCTAAATCGAGCCATTGCATTCCAGCTTGGGTAACGAGTGAAACTCTGTCTAAAAAAAAAA